ACTAACAAAATTTTGTTTTCTGTCTTGTTCTTGTGCAGACTCCATGGTTAGATAACAAGCATGTTGTGTTTGGACAAGTAATTGAAGGTATGAAGCTTGTGAGGACTCTTGAATCTCAGCCGACACGCGCGATGGATGTTCCCAAGAAAGGTTGCAGAATCTATGCCTGCGGAGAGCTCCCGCTTGAAGCTTGAAAGCCATGATCTTTGTTATGTTTTTTGCTATTATGACTATTGAGGAGAATCCAAACCATCAAAAAGCCAAGATTTTCAGATTTTGGTCTTTTGTTTATTTATTTCGAATACATGAGTTGAAAGTACAATTAAGGTTCTTAATCTTGTTATTAGACTCTCTTTAAGCTTGAACCATGGTTGCAACCGCGGCTTGCTGAACAATTGGCTCGAGCTTCTCATCGTTGTCGTCTTCCCATAAACCAGGTATTGCTTCCTTTATGTTATGAATGCTGCTTAGTGCATAGTCTGCACCTGGAATTAGCACCGAGTCCCCCACAAATACGGTTTTAAGCCCCGCTACTTTAGCACTAGCGATGTTACGAATACTGTCATCGAAGAACATCTGAAAGAAAAAGAGACAGACTTTGAGTTTGGTATCTGAAACTGTTATAGATTCTTGTACTTAATAAAAAAAAACTGAAACTGTGAAAGATTCTAGTGGCTTTTATTTACTGTTTTGCGTGGATCGACGATGCCTGCAATGCGAATGGCAGCTTCGAATGCTTCCACTAAGGGTTTACAGAGGATTTGAGTCTTAGAATCATAAGAAGGGTTTAGTGTTTCAAAGCAAATGATTCCTTCAAAGCAATCCTCTAGACCCAACTTGTCAAGAGCTCGTGTCGCGTGAGCTTTGTCTGCGTTAGTAAAGATCTGAGGGGGAGGAAAAAAAAAAACAGGGATTGAGAAAAAGGAATTGAATTCTGATGTTTCAAGCTTGAAGGAAGAAACATACGATTTTACGGTGAGGCATAGAGTGGAGAAGGTTACGGAGAACAAGATCAGGCTTTAGTTTCTCGTACGGAAGTCTTCCATGGACGTATTCATGGAACTCATCGTTGTCGAATTCGTAACCCATAACCTTCAAAACAAAGGTTCTCTTTAGGTTATTTCGGTTTCGGGTCCAAGAATGGTGAAATGGTTGAGAAAAAGGACTTTACCTTGAGACCAGCCATGGTGGTTCCATATTCTTTGTAAAGATCAAGACACATCTTTGGAACTTCACTCTCTTCGATTCCGAGTTGATTAAACATGAACTCTGCAGAACAACAAAAAAAAAGACAAGAAGAAAACAGAGTAAATAATTAAGTAATTTATACAAAGATTTCAATCATCTTGAAACGTTAAAGTATCTTTTCCTTGGATGTTATTTCGACAAGCTAAGTTGATTCCAATGCTTAAAGGGTATAAAGTATCGTCCAAATCTG